ATAACTATGAAATAATTCAGACCGGAGAAGGAGAAGAATAAGAAGAGTTAAAAATAAAAATAGAGAATAAGAGAAGATGTAAAGACACTTTTAGTCTATATAAAGGCTCTCAAATACGTAACCTTAAGATAAATGAATTGCAAATTCTTTGTTCCGAGTCTTCCACTTAGAATATTAGTTTTATACACGATGCTAATTGAAATAAAGTAAGATATTATTCAATATATATTTACACTTTAAAAATATAATTAATGAAAAAAAGAAGATAAAGTTACATTTGTAACAAACTTTTCATTTCTTGACTTGATTTTCGAGTACAACGAACAAAACTATACCACAGTGTAATCCTTAGGCAGGATTACAAATAACTGTTAATGAGACCTACATTATATGACATAAAAAGTAGTTATAAAATTAACATAATGAAAGATAAAAATTAAAATACGAACCCTTCAATGTATGAAGTCAAGTATATATGTATTTGTGAGTCACTCATCCATGTTTATATATATTGTTGGATTTTGACCTTCGTATTTCCAAAATTTTGGATGGATCTCAATATTACAAATAGTGCATGTTTGCATATATATATATATATATATATATATATATATATATATATATATATATATATATATAATTGATATGTTTTCCATTTTCACAAACAAATTTCAAAAATTCCTCTACTCCTTTCTCGTACTCTTTGCTAATATGACGTGCATTTATTCAACTCTGATCCATACCTACCTATGTTATAAATTTTCGTCACTCCTAGATATTCAAACACAAATTCATGTTTTTTAAAAAAAATTAATATACAAACAACAAAAAATTGTAGGATTCAAACAACTAAACCGTGAAAACATAAAAATGATGTGTATAAATCGTAAATGTCCTCAAACGAATAAATAGATAATAACAAACTACAATAATTCAATTTAAATAACAATCCAATGGAAATAAGAACACTAACCTCAAATATACAATAAACGCTCTAAAACTTGAACTTAATCGAAGAGAAATGTCAACCATCGCAAATGTCGAAATGTACTCTGAGAGGAACTGAAATGGTTGCTGTTGCTGTCATCACTTGAAAATCCTCACGCAAGAGGAAGAAGAAACCCTAGGTGAGATTAAAATATGACTTTTAGTCAGACCTCACAAAGACTGGTGTAATAGTCTCTTTTTCATTGGTTAGGGGGTCAATCGACGTAAAAAATGGCTTTTACGTCGGTTCCTGTGAAGTCTGACATAAAAAGTGTCTCCCTTATTTACAAAAATGCCACTATATTTTTTTAAGTCGGTTATTTTTGGGTATGATGAGAATGGAGTAATGTAAAAAGCTTTTTCTGCATTAGTAAGAGTTGTAGAGTTGAAAGTTTTGTGCAAATGAAACTTTAATGGTTAAGTTTTATATTTATAGTTTTTTTAACATAATCACTAAAACTTCAAGTTTTATAAATAAACCATTTATTCTCTTAACTTTATTAAACTAGATCTTCAAATATGAACAAGTTTTTAGAGTGAGTGAAACTAGGTTAAACTAATAAAATATGGGTTAAGATAAGATAAAATTAGATTAGGTTAAGTCTTCCCCTGAGTCAAACTAGACTTTGACTATTAAAATCAGTTTAAGATATCCCAACTAAATTAAGATTAAGTAAAAAAAAAAGAAAATACATAAATATAAGAAATTAAAAAATATAAAAATATAAAAATTTGTCTTTTTATATCAAAAATTTATATTATTTATTTTCAAAATAATCCAATTATTATCATTAATTTTAAAATGTTATTTTATTTTTATCTAAATAACATATTGTATTATAAACTATTTCAAATCTTTTATAAGAATAAATTATTCTTTATCGATCGTCTATCAAATACAAGGTAAAAAGTTATAAACGTTAAATATAAATTGAAACTCACTTAGATTGGTCTCCTTTATTCTTTCCTTACAAGTTGCACCAAAGGAAATAACAATTGAGCTTTTGTGAAATTTCCTTTCTCTCTCGCACGATCCTCCCATTTCTCTGTGAAAATGAAACATAAAAAAAAAAAACAAAAATACAAGTATAAGGAATTATTTTTTCGAAAATTTTAAGTTTTAAAAAATTAGTATTAATTATTTTTTATTTTAAGTCTAGCACCACAGGATTGTTATATATATATATATATATATATATATATATATATAATTTATATATGTATATAATTTATATATGTATAATATGTGAAATAATATAAATCAAAATGAAATTGAATTAACAAAGTGACATAAAATAAAGTTATCATTAATGAAATTATTTTCATGTCATAAACAATCTTAAATCAAAGAAGAAGAAAACGATGGATTTAGGGTGGAATAAATAAAACACATCTCACTTTATATCACCATGTTATATTTTAAACAATAAAAATATAATTTTTGGTATCATTTCCATCCTATTTCGACACACCCCATCTTATCCTTCAACATCAATTCAAATATAATCTAAATGAAAATGATAGAATCTAAACAAAGTAAGAAGGTAAAACAGTGATCTAAGAAGCTTAATATTTTCTTTGAATTGATAATTTCTTATAATCATTATATATTACTTCAAAGTATTACCAGTTTTGTTAATAATTGACCATTATATAGTGAAATTTTCCTTTCTAAGACTTTTTTTTTCATATATTTATTTTGGAGAGAAATAATAGAAAATAGTAATTTTCTTATAGTTTTATTTATTTTTCTTATATATAAATAAAAAGTAAACATGTGAGATTCTATAAAAAAGTATATATACATTTTTTTTATTATCTACTAAAACATGGAAAATATTTTTACTTATATGGTTGTAGGAATCGCTTTCTTAAGAAGTGATTAAATTTAAACCAAATAAAGAGTCTGTAAATAAAAACATGTTAAAAATTGTATTATTAATTAACCCTGGCCACTAATTTGTCTCTTTAAGCAGAAGAGGATGTAAAGAATACCCTTACACACTCCAACACGTAAGTGTTGATAATTTAATGACTTTTCTTTAAGAGGTTCTCATGTTAGACCTTATCCAATGTCACGTTGAAGATTATCATAGAGGATCACCATTCTAAGAAACTGTATCAAATAGTTTATACGATGATATAACAAAATCGAAAATTCCATGGGACATACTCCTCGTGTGTGCGATCTAAAGCTTGTTTATTATTTGTTGTTTCTAACTTTATCCATATCATGTACAATTAGATTCCCCTCATGTAAAGTTGCTGCAAATATGTGGTTCTGGAGTTTTGTTACATCTTATGAACAAGAGTATATTCTATTCCAGTAAAGTAGATAGGCACATGACATTGCAACAAAAAGAAGTTAAGACAGAAAAGAATCTCAATGGTCCAACTTGATTTTTCTAGTCTTGTTATTTTTCCTCTCTTTTTATTTTTTTAACGTTTACTTTTCCAGATTCCAAAATTACGGTTTCTAAATTCCACATTACCCTTTTTCATCTGTTTAATTAAAAAAAAGAAAAATGGGTAATGTTCCATCCCTCCTTCAATCAAGTTTTTTAGGTCTTGTCCTCAGAAAGCAAGGTCTTCAATGAGACTTACAAACACAAAGAAGAGGTAGTTTATCCATTTGGGTAAATCACTAATTTATCAGTTTCAGAACTTCAATTGCATACAGAAACTAAACTACCATGATGACAGTAAAATGGGTTGGATTACATAACTAATGAAACCTAGGTTCTGCACATTCCTACAATTCATCATCAATTATTTTCTCTTCCTGAATTTCAACCATTTTCAACTAGTTCCAATTCATGTCTGTTTCTGAAAAAGATTCCCACTTTCTCAGCACTGTTATACTAGAAATATCGATTGGAATTGTCTGACTTTACACATACATAACATAACCATGACTGATTTAGCTTTTATTATGATTCACTTCCTCTTACCTTTACAAACATATAAAACGATTTTTAAGAGCTGCAAAGTATTCATCTGACAGGCTCCAAGTTTTATCAGAAAAATTACAATCTCTAGCACCTCAACTCATGAACTAATTAATATCAAGTAAAAAGTGCATATATCATGTATTTTGGTTGAAAGAGTAGCAGCTTACACAACATAATATGACTGAGTATCCGAATATGGAGAAAAAATTTGCAGACAATTCTGGCACAAACTTCCCAAAATAGATTTCCATTCATTCCTTGTAAAAATTAAACCTACTTTTGTATCACCAAGATTAATAGAAGAATATAAATTTTTTCCTGTAAAAAAAAATCAGCCATACATTATCGTCCAATTCCAGCACATTTCTTTCACTGCAACCTGAAGACAATTCAATAAAAATAACGATAAAACATATAAAGTAGCAATTGACACACAAAACAGTAGTATACACTCCCTCAAAGAAGAATTTCAACTGCGCAACTTCCTTTCAAAAACCTAGGATAAATTCCTCAGGACCATATGAATAAATAAAGATATGTACTTCTCATTCTCCTCCTCTAATGTAAAAGTAATGTAACATCATCCCTCTGTCATTTTTCTCATCTCTAACAATCATTGATCTTTTTTTTCTTTTATAAATCACCTATTTTACCAAACATAATTATGTTTGAATCCAACAATACTTAATACAATTCAAACTCACTAGTTAAACTAAGATAGTTTACACCAATTTATCACATTTTAATGGCTTTATAACATCTAATTAAAACTCAATAAAACATTCTTTATTTTCTAAAACTTCTCTTAATAAAAAATAAAATAACCTACTTTACAAGCAGCACTATATAGTTTCTGATCCACTTAACGAGAAGGACCAAAATCCTGCAAGATAAGCATGGTAGAGAATATTTAATTATATTATTATTATTGTTTAATCATGAGTGTTTAAACAATTGCAACCTAATCATGTACTGAATGGATAATTGGATGAATAATAAATATCAGAATTGGAAAAAAAAGTAGAGGAAAGCACTTAGAGTGGTGCGGTTTCATGTAATGTTATGCACGAAACGACGGCGTTTGGGGCTTGTGGGTTTGAGGGGAGAACCTTTATACGCGAGGTGAGTGAGCCACGTGGTGGGATCCAGATCTAGAAGATCGTATTAGATTCGAAAGGGTGTACATAACCTCGCGGCTTTTGATTTTGTCCACGTCACGCGATCAACGCGTCTCCAACGCGCCATGTCACGCGGGCCCAGCTTCTGACGTGGGGTTCCGAGCCATTCACGCCTTCATTTTGTACACGTCAGCGTCACCAGAATAATATCTTCTCCCCCACTCTCTCTTAACCTTTTCGCTGCGCTATTTCTCTGCCAGTCAAGTGTTTTCCATAGAAAATCGTTTTTTGCCGAATTCCAAACGAAGAGAAAAGAAAAAGAAAGGAAAAGAAAAGCTCTAAGAGAAATGTTAGAATCTTGTTACCTAAGTTGCTGATTTTCTTTCCTCGATTATGATTATTTTTTGCTGTTGTGATTTTTGTTTTGCTCTATTTCCCAAACGAGATTGGAGCTCTGACTATTATCGTTTTTGAATTTTTTTTTGTGTTGGATTGTTTTTTCCAAGTTGCTGCTTCGAGCTCGCAAATGGAGGTTTGGTTCTTGTCAGTGAAGCTCTGAAGGTTTGTTTCGTAGTCCTGTGAATCTGGTGTTTGATTTTTTTCTTTTTTAAGTTTCTCTTGCTTTGGTTTTAAAAAATAAAATAAGCGGTTGAAAACGCGGTTTAAAATTGTGCTTTCTGGATTTTTATGTTTTGTTTGGTGTGGATAAGTAGAAGCTTCATTGCTATACTCGTATGAATAATTAACCTTTTTACGTATGAATTTGGTTTATTTCCCTAATTTATGAGGTCTGAGCTAATATCTTCGTGTAAAATAATCTACGACACGTGTCAGTATAATTATAATTGTTTCATCAAATTTATAGTAGTTTATTTATTTCTCATGAAGATTGCAATAAAAACAGCGAATCTATATGGTGTTATGTTAATTGGATATAAATCACTTTTTAAAAGGGAAAGTAAACAAAGATGATATTTAGATCATAGTTTTGGAGTTTTTGTGTTTTATGTTGTCTTATTAAATAAGCCACTAACTGTGGGAATATCTGAAGTCTGCTGAAATCTCCATATAAAAATATCTGTGAACTGTCGCTATGTATGTAAGGAAAAAGGCTGTTAAGTAAGTTTACTTATTATATTCATTTCTCAGGATATTGGTATGAATAGGAAGTTATACCTTCTGCTGAGAAGAAGCTTTTAAGAGTTCTTTGATCCAGGAACAGGTTGTCGTTCCATTTCATTAAATTTGCTATGAATTTTTGTTTTTGAGCTTTTGATTTCTGTCTGGGGGCTGGAGTTTGGAGGTATGGATCTATATTTTTCTTTCTTAACTTTTTTGAATCACAACTATGTTTTTATTACCAAGTCTAGGTTTTTGTTATGTAAAGTCTGTTAACAATTGCCGTATGCAATTTCTGATTTTACGCCCATGATATGTGTGTGTATAAATTTGTTTTGGCTTCTTGGGTGGAGTATCCTCAGGTATAGGGTATTTTATTTTTCAGAATTATGATAAAAGTACTGACTTGACTGATGGATAGGGTTGTATTTGCAGAAATTGATAGTTGAAGTGCTTGAGATGTGGGGAATCCATGACTCACTTGACAAGGGTGTTGCATTTGTGTGTTAATTCCTCACAATGTTTTTTCAGTGTGGTTGATATAGGCTGGTCCAATGAACAATAATGTTGGGAAAGGGAAAAAAGGTTTGGCAGAACATAATAATCATATGATTTTTGACAAAAAGAGTCTCCATTATGGAGTAGTCAATGGAGGGGTAGGTTCTGGATCATCAGCAGAAGATGACACAAGATTTAGTAAGCTAACTGAAGATGGAAACAATGGGTTGAGGGGTCTGATTCAAATCAATGGGAGCTTGCAGGTTTCACAGCAACCACCACAAGGACCAGTCATATGCTGGGAGAGATTTCTCCCTGTGAGATCAATTAAAGTTTTGCTGGTGGAAGATGATGATTCAACACGCCATGTTGTGCGTGCTCTGTTACGCAATTGTAGTTACGAAGGTATTACTGTTGTCTTTATGGTCAATCATGCCATATAGCACAATTATCAATTTTAGATTCAATTTATTATGTGAATCATAATTTGCATCAAATTGTAAGATTACAATTCAAAAGCAACAAAAACTAATTTTTAAATTATCATTTAGATTATATAAAGTGTTCAATATAATAGTTATAAACCAAAAATAAATAAAACAACTTAATCATAAGTCTAACAAAATAAAATTATAGTGATATTTGGGTTTGTGAAGCCTCTATTTTGAGAGAATGGAGATGAAGCAATGAAACCCAAATAGAGTTCACACATTAAATGGGTGAGTGAAAAATAAATTAATTCAATAATCAAATCAAATAAGTTCAGGTGTGCTTCTTCAATTCCTTTTCATTTAACAATTTTAGTATATATGACATCCCAACTTCTTTCTTGAAAACTGGTGAAAAAGAAGTAGAAAAAAAAGAAAAAGTAATGCATTGTTGAATCATGTGATTTGCATAATTGAATGAATACATCTACGTATCATAACATTCAAAGTCATTTGAGATTCATCTTATGTGGCTTGTTGAATCATATTGTATTTCAAATGATGAATTGTAAGATTTTAGTTTTTGTGATTAGTGCTTGCATGCATTTGTATCAACTTCTATATAGCTATTGCCAATTTGATTGATATACAATACAAAATCCTTTCCTAAGCTCCTATCATAGCATTGTCCTTGAGAGTCAACATCCATGTATCATAACATCAAAGTCATATGAGATTCATCTTATTCTATGAATTAATAGCTTGTTGAATCATATTGTATTTCAAATGATGAATTGTAAGATTTTAGTTTTTGTGATTAGTGCTTGCATGCATTTGTATCAACTTCTATATGACTATTGTCAATTTGATTGAGATACAAAATCCTTTCCTAAGCCCCTATCATAGCATTGTCCTTGAGAGTAAACATCTTGATGGCTAACCCTTTACAACCTTTCAGGTCATCCCTTTTATAAGTAGCCATTTTCGAGACACCGAAGGCTAGCTTTGAAACTAATTGATAAGCTTCCAAGCATTTGGGGAATTCTCCCTTAAAACTGGCTGTTAAGGGAGAATAATCAAGTGCTTATAAACTCCTCCTATGTATCCATACTTCTTGATATAGAACTTGGGCATCTTAGAATACACAAGCCCCTATTATCCATCAACTCCTTTCCTCCTCATTTCAAGGCTTACTATGAGTGTTCCATGGAAAAAAAGAAGTCTATTCAAACAGGATTTATTTTTCATACCAATTAGGTATATTTTTCTTATTAGAACAACATAGCTTTCTTTAACAGATAAGTTGGACTTTCAACCACTAAGTATTGATTAGATTTTGTGCTGATTTGAGATTGAGATCTCTTCCTAGATAAAAAAAAAGCCTATAGATGTAACTAAATATATCTTTTGATATATCTAAAGCCATTAAGTTTCAACTTTTTGACGGGTTCTGTGTTTTATGCATATACGGTCTTGCTTTACTTTGACTGTCGAATGGTTCTTGGCTATTTATCTACTAGGGTGGTCTCAGTCTTGGTATCAATTAATGTATTTTACCCTGTTCTGCAGTTATTTGAGAGATATATTCTTGTGTATTTTATATTGAAACATAATCGATAGCTTATACATGAAGGGAATAATCCTGTGTTAATGGTAAATATTAAGCTTAAATGTAAGGATAATGCTTATTAGTTTCCAGTACAAATGTTGATTGCAATCGTTTTGCATACAAAACTATTAATAGTCAGATTTTGGCCTTGGGATGGCTTTAATTGCATCTTTATATTTATTTGATTTTGGTGTAAATCGAATTGTCTATCTAGCAATTGGTGCTCAAACAATTAAAATCCATTTTCTTCATGTATTACAGTTACTGCTGTTTCCAATGGTCTTCAAGCATGGAAAGTCCTCGAAAATCCAGAAAATTGCATTGGTCTTGTCCTAACAGAGGTAGCTATGCCTATTTTGTCTGGAATAGGTCTTTTGTGCAAGATCATGAACCACAAAAATCTGAGGCATATCCCTGTGATTAGTAAGTGGTGTACCAAAGTTATACTTTGTCCCAAATTTAGGAATATATTTTCTATGACTATTGCTCATGTGGTGCTTCTTTATTTGCACATGTTCAAATGCATGCAGTGATGTCATCTCATGATTCTATGGGTATAGTCTTTAAGTGTTTGTCAAAAGGCGCTGTTGATTTTTTAGTGAAACCTATTCGGAGGAATGAACTTAAAAATCTCTGGCAGCATGTTTGGAGAAGATGCCACAGTGTGAGTTGATTTACATTTCTGTCTCACGCATTACTTTAACAAATTACAATGTTGATTTTATGAAAGAGAATTAATTCATTGTTCCACTTGAAAATTAAATGAACTTTTATATTTTTGTGTTTTGAATAAAAGCAATAATCTCCTTTTTATAGCCTAAGATTGACTAACCTTATGAAGGGAAACAGGAAAATAACAAAAAAGTAATATTAAAATAAAGATATTTATACAAATCTAATAATATCAAAGCTATATATAAAGAAATATTTATTACACTCCTTTGAATTTGGTAAATGAATATCAATCATTTTTAGGGATGTCAATATGAGTTTGAACCTGTGAGCCAACCTGACTCACTATAGGTTCAAGTTGGGTTGAGTTGAAAAAATTTAAAATTTTTCAATTGTGAGGCAAAACAAACTCAACTCACTTAACTTGAGAGTTAAATGGGTTCGAGTCGAGTTGACCCACAACTTACTAGTTTTTAAATTTTTTTTAAGGAGGACATGCAAAAGCAAAACTAAAAAAATTGGACATTCAACTAAATTGGTACCCCTCGTGTCACCTATCATTTGTAACACATCAAATATATATAACGAAAAATCAAATGCCAAACCCTTTCTATTTGAATTAATATTGATATAATTTATATTTTAGTTAATCAACTCACCTTAACCACCTATTCTAGTAATTAAAAAAAAAAAATAGTAAAAGAAAGAAGTTAGAAAATAAAGTGAGCTTACCCACCAAACCCATCAATCCATGATAGGTCGAGTCGAGTTACAAAAATCTTTGGCTCACCAAACAATGAGTTGGGTTGAGCTTACCTATTTATGACTCAATTTCTAGTGAGCCAACTTAGATGAACCAAGTTGACTCACTCTGACATCCCTAGTTATGCTCAACATGCTAGTATGTCTTTGGAATCTCAATGTACGGAGCCCTTTGGTCAATACATATGCCAATTAGAGCTCTAAAGGGATGTAAGTTGTAGTAGTAAAACAATTATCCAAATTTTCATTGATAAGTTGTGTCAGTCTCTATATGATAAGTTCTATGATGTTATATAATCTTGTGGGCAATGCTAATAACAATATTATTAACACAAGACATATTTTCATCTTATGGTCATCAAGAATGATCCTCATTGATAATCTCACAGACATCGTGTGTCATATCCTCAAAACTTTGTCTTTACACTAGATTGAGCAATTACATTTTGCTTTTAATCTTCCATGTTGCTTGATTTCTTCACGAAATAGGCAATACCCTAAGATGGATCTTTTATTGTTCATTTTTATTCACTTAGAAAAAGTATCAAAGGATTTAGTGAACATGTCAACTAGACGGTTTCTCCCCAAAACACACAATACCCTGAGCTAACAAAAGTTGATGATAATTTCTTGAGATCACCTTATCCCTTACAAAATGGTAGTCTATCGCGATTATTCATTCATGAAATATTGGATTGGAGCCAAAGTGAAGTAGTTAGTTTATCACATGAATTTGGTGTATTGAATGTTGCAAAATTTTAAATGTTGGAGACAATGTTTCTATTAGAAATTGATTTATATCTAACTTAATTGTACAAAATCAGTTTATAAGGTGAGGTTTGCACCCACTTCTATACTGTAATTTGACCATATCTTTAATCGATGTGGAATCTCTAACATATTCTCTCGTGTCGAGGATTGGACATCTCTAGTGTTGGAATAGATATATGGTTGGTCTAATAGCGGTTTGATAAAAGGGGACAAGGAACCTCACTTAAGATAGGCTCAAGTACCATATTAGAATGTAGTTTAGGCCTAACTCAACCCTAAAAAAAACCAGCATGTGAGGTGAAATTTGCATCCATTTATGTATTATAGTTTGGTGATATTTTTAGTTTTGTGGGGTTTTCAACAATTTCTAAACCTAGATTGGTCATTAAACTAGTATTGGTCCAATGGTTGAACCATGGTCAAACAAATAATAATAAATTAAAGTTAATAATTAAATAATTAAAAAATAATGACCAAATAAATGATGAAGAGGACGAGTTTGTTTAAATAAGTGACAATTCTTTTGTTTGACCACAACAATTTTGTTGTGAAGTTTGGGCACATGATGTATGATGAAAAATTCTTTGCAAATTTAGAAAGAACTAAGTTAGGTAGAGATACATTCACAGGCTTATCAATTTGCAAATTATAATGATGATGAGCAAGTTTGCCCAATAGACACGACTCTCTAAAAAGATGCAAGAGACTAGGGACCAAGACGTAATTTCCTACAACATGGTGTTTTATGATTGGTGAGAAATAGTTTGGGAGGTAGTTAACACATACCACCAAGGTGATACAATCCCTAAGATTCATGTCCTTCACTAATTGTTTGTCTTATACGTTGATCTTGAGTAAGAATATAGTTTTTAACTAACAAGACAAAAATTCAACATATAAGTGAGTTTGCTAATTGAATTTAAATTAAAAAGGAAACCAAGAACAAACGAAGCAAAATTGAGATAAAGGTTGGGAAGAGTTGTTTGTTTGATGGCTTAAACTTGAATCAAAGATCCATTTTGTGAGTGATAGATGGGAATATGTTTGGAAATGAGAAATGAGAGAAAATAGATTTGTCACCTCTTATATGATTAGAACAACCAAAGTCAAGGATCCGATGTCTAGAAAGGATGAGAGACATGCTACATGATTACTAATTGGTTTACAACAATAATAGATGATGTTGGTGGATGAACCACTTGGAGATGAATAAATCATGATATTTAGCGGCCAAAATGGTGAAATTGGTAGACAAGACAACCTAGGCCACAATGTCTTGTTTCAATTGTTCCTTTACTTTGTTGCAACGTTGTGATTGCGAGAGACCAAGGCAGAAAAACCACTTGGAGGAGTGGTGGAGTGCTTAAATGTATGTGGAGTGGAGAGATGCAGTTGTGATTGTGAGAGACCAAGGCAGCAAAACCACTCGGAGGAGTGGTGGAGTGCTTAAAGGTGTGTGGAGTGGAGAGATGCAATATTTGACAACTATTCATATCACAGGTAAGAACAATTGGACTAAACAAAAACTAATTTCGAATTGCCTCCAAAATCAAGTGAGAGTCTAAGGAGGGAAAGGACCATAAAAAGTTGGTAAAAGTGCATAGAATATGTCTTTGCATCACTATTGAGAGTCTAAGGAGGGCAAGGTCCATGAAAAAATGGTGTGCCCTACTACATTTTTGTTCTTCGGTAGCCATTATGCCCTTCGAGAATTTTTGCTCTTCGACAACCATTGTGTCCATTGAGTATTTTTTGCTCTATGACAACAGTTGTGTCCTTTGAGCATTTTTTGCTCTTAGGTAACTATCCTAATCTTTGAGGAATTTTACTCTTCAGCAACTGCTACGCTTTCTAAGCATTTTTTTACCAACTAATAGCCGCCATAGTCTCTAAGGATTTTTTGCACCCCAGTAACCATTACTTCCTTTTGACCTCTAATGTGATCCTACGATTAGAGTTGTCCTTCTCTAGCAACCACTATGCTACCTAACTCACGGCTAATAGTCACAATGTGCCAACAACTCCTTGGAATATCATATTCACACACATGAACCAAATGAATGTGCGAACCTTTGTCAATATTGACTTTGTTAGTTCATGCAAACAATTGGCTGACATGTTCATTAAGTCTCTTAAGGGGTCTCGTGTTGATGACATTTGTAACAAGATTGACTTATGATAATATGCTCCAACTTTAGGGGGTGTTAAAAATATGATTTGATTACATTGAATAACAAAATATGATATGATTTGAATACATTAAATACAAAAATATCCTAGCAAAAATGTATCCTTACTAGTAATTTATTTGGTTCCTTATTACTCTCTCTTCTTCATCATAAAGAAGAATACTCATATGGGTACACAACACACAATTACAAGCTATTCTTTTATTAGAATCAATGGGATAGAGGTAAGTGTCATAATGGAGTCAGAGGAGTTGGTCTTACCATGGATAAATGGGGGGAAAAGTGCCCTTGAAGAGTAGGCGGAGGAAAAGGAGACTGGGAGGAGGGTTGTTGATGGGTGTGTTTTGCTAAATATGCTCATGCTCACTTTGGTGCAAGCATGTGAGTTCCATGCAATAGTGAGAGAAAGTGCTTGAGCTACAAGGATCAAGCCAACTTCATCAATGTGTCTATGTTTTTACTTGGCAAGACTTCTTTGATGGCTAGTGTATGGATAGGCGAAATTCACCACACATTTAGATTTTGATGGCTTTAACCTTGGTGCCAGATTGGATCTCCACCATAGACTTGTATTGAATGAACTGCCCAAGTGTGTTATGAACCTTCACGAAGGATCAAGTCATGAGCCCACACAAATTTGAATCTTGGCGACTTATGGTTGGAAGCAAATTTGTCTCTTACAAACCTTGTCCTAAACCTACATTTTTTTCTTGAAACGAAGCCCATCCTTTAAAAAAGCATAGAAAGATCTCCCTAATTAATAGGATTATGATTAACAATTATCTTAATTGATAAAATAAAAATAAAAATAAAGTAATCCTTAATTAGTAGGATCATATTTATCAATTATCCTAATAAACAAAATGGAAAAGACTTATTTATGTTTTTAGTTTTTGAAGTGTGTAGGGAATCAAATATAGGTTCTCCAAATTGTTATAAAAATCATTTTAGTCTCAAATTTGAAAAATAAAAAAACACGCTTTTAATCTTGAAGCACTATATTTGTGAGACTAAAATATTTTTGCAAATAATTATGGTTTTAGTCCCTGAATTTGGTCCCCCATAGTTTAGGAAAACCATTTTATTTCCTTAAATTTGAAAAAAGACCTAAGTACTAAATTTGAGGGATTAAAATGAACCTCTTATAAATTTGGGAGACCAAAATTCGATTCATTTCAAATTTCAAGGAATAAAAACATAATTAAGCCAATTAAGGATCCTTAATAATTATTATCAATTATCCTAATAAATACTACTAATAATAACAACGAGGATTTGAAATTAGGGATTGTGGTATATAAATTTTACCTAGATAGGGAACTATAAATAAATGAAACAAACGGAAATAATTCAAGATTTAAATAAAGATATATATGATAATCGACATTAGTTAGTCCAAATTAATTTGTTAGATTTGTTTTTAAGTGGCAGTACCCAAGGGACAGTGCATGTATACAAGTGAAGTAATTATATTCACAAGAGGATGGAATTGGGGTTGGTCACCAAAGGCCATAGACCATGAGCTGAGCTCGAGGGGAAGTTGATAAGTAGATGAGGATGGTGTTGGGAGACAACTGGCCTTGCCTTTATAAGGCAAAATTCAGATTAGCCTGTGTGGAGCTAAAATGTTGCAGATCTTTAGTGCCTCATGGATGTGTATGTGACCGAAATGATAGTACCATAAGCTATAAGTAGCAGGTGGCATAGATTATGGAGAGCATAGGTAGAACTTAAATCAACAATATTTATTGTAGTTGTGGATGAATTACAATGTGATTATTGGATATATGTATAGAAATATTTGATACAATAAAGATGAGAAAGCATAATTGTGCAAGAGGTGTGATCCATACAAGAAATGTAGTCAAATTTTTTAAAGCCCATCAGCACTAACTGTTCCTTATAGCAATTTGTCAGAGGAAGCCTGTGATTTCTCAAGGCAATATGTTGGACAAAATTCAAAGTCCATGTGACTACCCTTTGCAAACTTGCTTATACTAATGAAAGTCTTAGTGATTGAAGGAACTAGTAGTACATTGTTAAGAGTAAGTTTGGTACAAGAATATAAGCACTTGAGTTCTTGTGAGAAGTGCTTCAAGAATGTCCTCTAGTGATGAGGAATCAAGTCCCCACTCGAGAGACGAGAATTTGAAATTGCATGAACAAGAAGCATGGATTCTTGAACAGTGATTTGAGTGTAGTTGAGATAATTGTTGGGTTTTGATGCTTGTCAGATTACAAATATGTTTGTAATCTCATCCTACACCTGCCAAGATTGGGTGCTATCAAGGGAGAAAAGAATCCGAAATGGAAGAGAGGAGGCATGTACAGATTTGGGCATCTTGTTGCCTGATTCACTTCATCAGAACTTGATCTGTATCTTTGAAGTAACATGGTGCAACCTGGGGAAATATGATAAAATGTTGGAATGAATGGCCGCAATTTATTGTTTCCTCTGCCAAAATTTATTTTCATCATGTTTCAGACTGATTAGGTGAGAAATTATGATTGCAGTGGAGGATCCTCCGTGTTAGGTTTGGTGAAGAGATTACCAGTGCCACTGTTGCTGGATCAAGAAGCTCTTGATTTCATGTTAAATAACCAAAATTCATAGTTAATGAGGGAGATAAGGAGAATCAAACCTGAATTGCTTTCAGATTAGTTGTAACCGGAACAAGGAGCCTAACTGACACCTGTTGACACTTGGGCTTTTAGGCCCAAGTACTGCAGAAGCATCTGTAATAGATAGCAAGTAGAATGAGACAATCAACATGATGAACCAAGCAGACTAGGTGGCACATGACTTACACAAACCAGCAAGGAGATGTGTGCGTGGAGGTGCATGGGATGTTTTTGATGCAGGACTCTGGTAGTTGTTTGGTCAGAGGTCTCTGATGATTTAGAACTGTTGAACAGAGAAAGGGAAAGGGCCCAGTTATGAGGCTGGGCACACTAGGGACTATGCTTATTATGAAGATTGTGTACATGAGATTGGTTACTGATGATAGCTGATGTCAGTAGAAAAGAGAATCCCATAGGAGCTAATTTTAACTTGAAAGAATCATTTCTGCAAATTATTTCATGAATTGTACTACAGTAATTTACATAAAGAAAATACTTGAAAATATGAGGAAATCTCTGATATTATTTCTTGATTTTCAGTGTGCGACAACGGACTATTTGTATATGCTAGAATTTTTGGGCATCAAATCAAGCTCAATGAAGCAATCCTATTAAGGAATAAATCAAATTAAATTTGTAAAAAAAGGGAAAGAAAAAATAAACACATTAAGCACATCCTGAGCATGTTACAACAGAATGATTTTTGGAATACTATGCCTTTGATGATTTGAAACCGTACAAGGCAATTACAGTATATAGACTAAACAGCATATTCTGAACAGCAACAACTTTACTAAGCCAGTACTGTTCATCATAATACTTAACAGCTATATTACAGTAAACAAATCTGTCCAGGACAAAAAAAAAACTGAAACAACTTTACTAAGCCAGTACTGTTCATAATAATACTTAACAGCAACCCATCTAGTTCGTACAACATTTTTTTATCGTGTGGATCTTATATTTGATCAACTTAAGTATCCAATTTTTCAGTTCATTCTTCAATATTCAATATTTCTAGTTAACTGATATAAGGATCAACAAAGGAATTTGCTAAAGATAATTACTGCAATACCTCCTTTCAATCAAATTTGAAGTTTATTTTCTTTTATGTTTATGCCTTAAAGAAGCAATAATGAATTAATGCAGTTCATATATTTTTGTGGCATGATATTCTATCCTATGTACCTTATCATTGATCAACTTAAACAATAAATTCATTTTTCAATAATCAATATCATTAACACACTTCCTCAGTCTAGTGGTAGTGGAAGTGAAAGTGCGACCCACACCAGAAAATCTGCAAAATCAAGAAGTAACGATGCTTCTGAAAACAATAGTGACAGCAGTGACGAGAATGACTATGGAAGCAAAGGCTTGAGCATTCGCGATGGAAGTGACAATGGAAGTGGCACTCAGGTATTGCACATATCTCTGAAACATAGATAGGTTTCTCTTAATTGAATAACCCCCTCAGGTTATATTTCCCAGTCTAGGGGGCAAGATTAGCACAATCTGCTATGTTGATATCATTTTCTGTTCCCAAGTTCATGTGTTGTTTTCTTTATTTCCTTATATGAAATTATTTAAAGCTCAACAGATGCATGAGTTCAGTTTTGAAGAACACATTCATCATTTTTTGTAGATTTATCAATTATTTTCTAATGGCTCAGTAATAGCGTTTGATCTTACATACCAATATGCATCGCTTGTTCAATTTGATATGGTAATTTTAAGCAGCCAGAAAATAAGGGTTTTAAACTATACTAGTCATATGGATCTTGAAAGCAGGGCCAATACTGAGACAGACCAATAAACAACGTTAAGAATTGTTGAGTCTGAATTGTCATTAATGCCTTGTATGGTTGAAGATGGATAAGATGGAAGAGGATGGAAATAATGTAGTGTTTGATGGGAGAGAAAAAGAGGGAAATAATTTACGAAAGTGGTGGACTCTGTGTTCTCACATATTTCTGCTCATCTCTCTCCTTATCTGTTCTCTATTTCTCTTCAACCAAACACCTTTATTAATTTACACCTTCATTCTCTTTTTCTATTTTATTTCTCATGTATTTCCACTCTACCAACTTATTTCTATCTAACCTATTTCTTTCCTCTCTAAACAGAGGATTAGGGTAGTTATTAATGAACTTGAGTGATCAATAAATATCAGAAGACAATGGATGTCTTTCATTGATCAATTTAACCTACATAGGGTTCACTTAGCACGTGGCAATTACTTCCCGTAACAACTACCTAGTGCGACAAGCCAGCAGGTGTCAATGAACTATCTTGTCATCCATAGTTTTTCTGTCATTCCATTGACATCATTCATGTTCTTATCGATCGCTGAATTGAGGATAGTATAAAGCATGCTATTATTTGTTTTGTTATTCTTATTACACCAAACTTTTGAACCATATTGTAGAAATGAGCATAAATTTAGGGAGAATCACAATTAATTGTTAGCAGTTATTTTCAGTTCAAGAACAATTTACTGCAGAATGACTAACATTGTTAGGAGTGGTTGATTTGTGTTAATTCCCCCATTGAAAAATATATTTACAGGGTTGTCACTTAAATTGTGAGCACTTGTAAAAGCTTGAGCGTAAAGAATCTAGTGAATTATCATGCCTTTTGTTTTTTTTTCTACTGTACCTTTTTGTATGACGATTCAGATGGAGATTGGAGAGGTTCTTTGTTCTCGTTGTGCTTTCCAGGAATTATATACTAAAGATTCTAGGTCTCCCCTTGTCTAGAATTCCTGCTTGCTGACAAAAAAAAGATTGAATTCCTGCTTGACAAATTCATAAGAAAGCTCAAAGCTCCTTGTAAAATCAAGTCTTTTGTTTGTATGTTGGTTGGTATGTATTGATTAATAGGCATGAATTATTGCAGAATTGTAGACCCCAGCCCCCTCCATCTCCCAGTATGTGTTGTATGTTGGTTAGATTAAAAAAATGTTAGGACATTTATTTTGCATTGTAACTTTGAAAATTATCTACTCTCCTTTAGGACAATGAATCTAGTAGGACTCTCAAATGTATACCTTTTGACAAAATAAATGGAAAAAAACTACCTATCTTGGTCTGTTTCAATTGAACTTTGGTTCCTTGGCCACAAAAGTCAACCAAGACTGATTTTCACCTTTGTGCTTTACTGAGTTTTGTGTTGTATCCTTATCTCCTAAACTACTAAATGATTGCTTAGGCCACCCTCAATTGTCAAAAATTAAAGATGGTTCCTAAACTTAGTAGATTTCAAGCTTTAGAATGCAAATAATGTCTACTAAGAAAACATGTTAGGTCTTCTTTTCCTAGACACTTTGACTCTAGATGTAACTATTTTTTCTATATTCCATTCTAATATTTTGGGGGCTAACCTGTGCCTCCTTGTTAGGTTTTAAATATTTTGTAAGTTTTATGAATGAGTATTCTAGATGCACTTGGATTTATCTAATGAAAGATTATTTTGAACTTTTGTCTATCTTTATGTCTTTCCTTAATGAAATAAAAAATCACTTTGGCAAAATAATCAAAATTCTATGAAGTGATAATGCTAAAGAATAGTTTTCCTCTAATATCTCTACTCTCTTCAACTCACATGCAATGTAATCAAAATTGAGTTAAGATTGTAAAGTTGTAAGATTCCACGGTTTTAGGCATCGGGTTCGATTTAGTGTTCACACAAGATCGGACTAGAGCAGGATCGACTAACAAGATTGTGAAATCTTTGAATTGTGTAAAATTGGTCATGAGAACTTAGTTGGCTTGGATGACAACTATGGAGAAATCATTGACAATGAACCTTTGACTGTTGTGGAATGGTATTGATGTCGTCATCGGGACATTTCCCGCATCCCACATCTTCAGAAACCCTAACCCTAGTCCCCAATACCTGAACCTTTCCCACTGAGGTGTTGTGCTTCGAATCTGAAAAATAAGAGAGGAGAAGAGAAGAGTGTGGAAGGGGAAGATAAAAGATGGGTGCACATGGTAGGAAAGGGGGAGTAGGTTTGGTGGCAAAGGAATAGGTTTATATATATATATATATATATGCATTTTTGAAAAGGAAGTTGAACTCATGAGTTTAATGGTGATATATCTTTTGTGAAATAAATTATATTATTAATTAATTAAAATTTTTTACTAATATAATTTTTTATAACAAGCTATGATTTTTTTAAATGCAAGCTCTTGAACAAAACAATAGATGAGAGTTAATTCCTCTTCTATCTGAAAAGAAAACAATTGTTGTTGTTGGTTTATGCCATTAAAGTTGGACCTAATGATGAAGTTAATTGTCTTAAAGTTCGACTGGTAGTCGAACGGCACACTCAGATTTATGGGCTCGATTATAGTGATATTTTCCCTCCAATGGCCAAAATGGCTACTATCTGCCTTTTCCTTGCCACGATAGCCATGCATAATTGACCTTTTCATCAATTAAATATTAAAAATGTTTTTCCACATAGCGATCTAGAAGAAGAGATTTACATGAAGTAACCTTTTGAATTTGTAGTATGATTTGTAGATTGCGTGACTCTCTCTTTATGATCTCAAACAATCTCCATGTCGCTCAGAAATTAATGGTAGAATAGGGTGAAACATTATCTGATCCAGAAAAGTATAGAAGCTTAGTTGTAAATCTTATTTATCTTTTGCAATTGATGTTGTGAGTCAATCCATGCAAATTGCTTGTATTGATTGTCAAAATATTGTCATTCGTATTCTAAGATACCTCAAAAAGGCTCTAGGATAAAATTTACTTTATGGAGATTAAGAAAATATCCAAATCTTTGGGTATTGTGATGTTGAATATGTAGATTCTTCAATGGATTATTAAATCTGTCAAGAATTATGATTTACTAAAGAACGTTACGAAGAGTGAGTAAACCTCTTGCATATATGAGTTGTAACAAACTATTGTTGTCAAACAATTATAATAACAAAAATTGTTTAGAAATAATAAAAGAAAAAACATTACAAAAACATATCTCTAACACCACCCATAAGCTCAAGGTGGATGTGAAACAATAGGTAACTTAGCCACCTTGAGCTTGAATCTAAGGACAAGAAATCTTGTAGATGAAAGTGGCTTGGTTAGTACATTGACCCATTGATCTAGAATTGAGATATGCTTCATAACAAGTTGCATAGCTAGAACATTTTCTTTGACAAAAAAGAGATCTAGTTTCATGTGTTTAGTTTTGGTATGTAAAACAAGATTGTGAGCTAAATTTACTACATTAAGATTATCATAGTTGTTGAGATATATTCTATGTTTTAGGGTTTAACTTACATTTTTTTGTGTGTATATTCCTTAGACTAGGGTTAAGGTTTTGAGTTGAAACCCATATATATTTTTTTGTATCTCTTCTCTTTAAATATAACAATAATAGTGTCCTTACACACTGCATTGGAATTTTAACTAGTTTTCTCAAATTGTATCAAAGCGGGGAAGATCCTGCACGGATTTCCATCATCCCTATCATCTCCGACCACCGTGGGCTGTCATCTATCAGTGTGGTTTTGATTGGAAAAGTCAGGGTTTGGTATGCCTCGAGGAATGCAACCTAACCCTGCCAAGCATGCCTTCTCCACAGTCCGACGTGCCATCACGCACGTTTTTCCAACGCTGACCCTCCAGGCGCGTGGGTGTCACGCGTCGTCGTCTGTGGCCAAAACCACGCCAAGTCAGCGCCTTTCGTCTCATCAGCGTCTTTCTCTGCCACTCTCACCATTACTCTTGCAAGACTCGATTGGAAAACTATTTATCTTGGTCTGCATCTGTTGAGCTGTGGTTCCTAGGTCAGGGGTACCATGACCATCTAGAAAAGGAAGTAAGTTTTGTTTTTGCCTCCAAATGGTCTCTGTGGAAGAAAATAGATTTTCAACTTTGCGCACTATTATGGCAATCCGTGGAACTAAAAGTTCGGAAAATCCTCAGGTCATTCAAAATGTGTTTTTCTTTTTGAAAAAAAAGGCACAAGATATAATAGTCAGGGAGGACATGGTGGTAGGAATGTATGTTCAATGCTCTTATTGCAAGAGAACGAGACACACAGAACAACTGTTATTCTTAGATGGATTTCTTGACAAGACTACCATTATTCATCTCTCTAAATTTGAAAAGTTAGATATGGAGATTTTTGATGAAGATTATCAGGAATTTTTGAGCTTCAAATCTTAGAAGTTCAACTATCAGGGTCAATCTTCTTCAATGTTAAGTGTTTTCAACAACATGCATTTCTCAATTTGTGGAAGGTTAGAACCCATGAATTCTTGATTCAGGTGTTTGTGACCATATCTCTGGTAATAGTTCCTCATTTTCCTTCATGTTCTATCTCAAAATTCCTCACGTGATTATTGTGGCTAATGGATTCAAAGTGACATCTCAAGGAGTTGGCAAAATTCCTTTAAATGCTTCACTAAATTTAAACTCTTTTCTTTTCATTCCTAATTATTCTTATAACCTAATTTCTCTTTCGTTCTATGAATTGTTTTGTAAACTTTAATTCAAATTCTTTTATTATTCAGGAACATGGTACGAGTCGTTTGATTGGAGAAGGACATAAATCACGTGGTTTGTATTATTTGAATCCAAGCCTTTTAGTGTCGTGTCTTGCTATTCTTGCCCCTAAACTTTTGCATAATTGTTTGAGTCACCCAAGTTTACCCAAGTTGAATGTAATGACTCCTAATCTCAAACACCTTCGGGTTTAAGAATGTGAATCTTATAAATTAGGAAAACATGATAGGTCTACATTTCTAAATAGTTTGAAACTCGATGTAGTTTTTCTTTTTCCAATATTCATTATGATATTTGGAGACCGAGTTGTGTCTCTTCATTTGGTTTTTAGAATTTGGTGACCTCTATTGATGAATTCTCCATATGTAATTGGGTTTACTTAATGAAAGACAAATTTGAACTCTTATATATTTTTGTATTCTTTTTTAGTGAGATTAAGAATCAATTTGGAAAGAGAATTAAAATTCTTAGAAGTGATAATGGAAAAAAATATTTTTCTGTCGCTTTTTCTTCCTTTTTATCTTTCTAAGGCATTTTACATCAATCCACTCGTCCTAACACCTCACAACAAAATGCTATATCAAAAAGGAAAAATAGGCACCTTATTGAGATTATACGCTCTCTAATATTGAATGCTAATGTTCCTATTTATCATTGAGGAGATATAGTTCTTACTACTTGTGTTTTTATTAATTGAATATTATCTTCTTCTCTTAAAAATCAAATTTCCCATTTTCTTATCTTTCCAGATAAGCCTCTTAATCATGTGTTCCCACCTGTATTTTGTTGTGCCTATTTTGTACATAATATTTCTCCAGGTCTTGATAAACTCAGTGCAAAGGCCATTAAATGTGTTTTCTTGTAGTACTCCCACCTCCAAAAAGGGTATAAATGTTATTCTCCCTCCACTAAATGATATTATATGTCTGTTAGATGTTACTTTCTTTAAAAGCACACCCTTTTCTTCTTCCATGGAGGATGTTTCCCCTATTCAACAAGTTCTCCCTATACCTTCGTGTGATTCACTTATAATACTTGTTCCTTCTTCAACTCCGTTTATAGGTCATACTGTTCCCCCTCCTCTTCTCACATATCACCGCAGGATCTCTTCTACTTCTTTACCACTCCTTAAAGATTCTCGTTATTTAGATTCTTCTCCTAGTTTTTCATACCATGGATCCTTCATCCTCTTCCCCCACTTCTGATTCTATCTTTGAATGACTTATTG